GCTTACTTGTGTGCGCGTGTTTTAATGCTTGCTGTTATGCCTTCCATTAAAATGATCCCGAATGGCAGAAGGATAATTACTGAATGGAAATGAACTGAGTTTTGGATCTGTTCTTTTTTCTTTCTTTAATCTGTGTGTGCGCTCTCTTTCCAGATGAGAACGAGTGTGCATTAGGTGGTCACGGGTGTGACACCAACGCTCGTTGTGGTAACGTCATTGGCTCTTATTTCTGCCAGTGCTACCAGGGCTTCAATGGAGACGGGCACTCTTGTTTTGGTGGGTAAGCAGTGTGTGGTGTGTTTTCCACATTAGTGGTGCTCAGTAGTCCACCAGTGCTACTTATGTCATGCAAACAATTAATCATTTGTGCCAGCAGCCCTTGGGCATACAGCACTCACCAGATACCTTCAGAATTGTCCTTGTTTACAGACATTGATGAGTGTGCTCTAAACAACGGCCACTGTCAACACAACTGCTCCAACGAACCAGGAGGGTACAGCTGCCAGTGTGACCTAGGCTACCAGCTGGACAAGGATGGACTCAACTGCACAGGTAAAACCATAGGCTGTATATACAATATTTTATCAAAGACAAAAAAATAAACATAATTACACAAGACAAACAATTTACAATTGCCTCTCATTCTCCCATTCACACTAACTGATACACCCATGACATTAATTTTTAAGCCTGTGAAAGAATTACATCTTTGCATGCAAAATGAGCTGTAAGCCCTAATTTGCGGCAAAGTGGAAGGGAGTTCCATCATGAAAAGGATCGTCTCCCTCCAGATGATCATCTACGAAAGCCAATGCCAATTTTGATACCTTGATCCAAACAACCTGTCTCTTATTAACTGGTCCTCTTTGGCAAAAACCCCACTCACCGGGCCCTCCAAGCTTGTTGAAACAAGTGTCAAAAGGAATTGCAAATATGGTGTTTGACTTAAGTCTGAATGAGCCCTTACAATACGTGGAGCCCTGTTGTGCCATTACAGAAAAGTTAACTAAATGTCTCTGATCTCCCAGATGTTGATGAGTGTCTGACACTGAATGGGACCTGCGAGCATATTTGCATCGACACTCAGGGATCTTTCCAGTGCTCCTGCAGGCCCGGCTACCAGCTGCACATCGATGGCCACACCTGTGTGGGTCAGTCACTCACCGACACTCTTTCACTGTTTACCTACTCATTTGAGTCGTTTAAACAGGCTGATTCACACAAACTGCCATGAATAAGTCATCTCACGTTCTCATTTTGTGTGTGAGTTTGTGTCGTGCATAATTATTGTCTATGTGTGTGTGTGTGTGTGTGTGTGTGCTCAGATATTGATGAATGTAAACTCCAGAGTGGCGGCTGCTCTCACATCTGCACCAACTCTCCGGGAGGATACATTTGCCACTGCCCGCCTCCTCTTTTGCTAGACACAGACAACCTCACCTGCAGCAGTATGTTTCTCATTACAGTGTGGTCATCACATTATTTTAAATCAAACTGTTATTCTTATTACTTAGATTTGTGTTATTCGTGATCTCATTGTAGCTTGAGATATCGCAGTTTTAAAGAATGGTCCACACACCGAACTTTAGCACAAAATATATATTCTAACTCTTAAACAACAGTTTTGACTAATTACTTATAGCTATTGCATTTTTGAGAGAAGAATACTTGTTATTTGATGTCTTTTAATATCATCTGTCATTTTTAAAACCAATAATGTCCAATAATTTGACTGTTGCCCATAATTTAGGCTGCAACTAAAGATTATTTTATTATAAATTAATCTGCAGATAAAACTCTCAATGAATCCTATTGTCTGTGAAGTGTAAGAAAATTTAAAAAAATGCCATAAAATAAGCTAACAAATAGCAACAAATTTCGCAAGTTAGAAACTGGAATCAGGGTTTTTAGCTCTGCCAAAAAATGTTCATAATTTGTGAATATTCAATGTTAAAATATTTTTTCGAATTGAACAGATGTTACATCCTGCAAGCTAAGAAATGGAGGATGTGAGCACATCTGCTCGGTGAGGGCTGAGGGCCAGGTCCAGTGTAGCTGTCGGGCAGGCTGGAAGTTGGACGAGAACCAAAGGAGCTGCGTGGGTGAGACTTGATTTTCTGTCCTCGGTGCCACTTTTTTTTGGGAAAATCTAATTTTGTTTAAGGTCATATCTATGCAGAAGAAGTTTAATGTTTTTTTAAATTATTTTATTTTAAGTACATATTCTCTCTTCAGACTTCTCAATCTATTGAAACAACCATACAAAGATTCTCAGAGCATCATTTTGTAAACATTTATTGCTGCAAAAACAGTAAAGAGCTGGAGAGGTTTAAATGGCTACAATCAACTTCTCATCCATTTTGCACTTGCCAGGCGGGAGGTGTTCATTAAAAGCAATCATGGCAGCTGGGTTAAAAGGAAGGGTGGAAATCGGATGACTGGTTCAGCTGTGGCCACATTTTCTGGGATGATAAGCTTGTGTGCACACAGCCGAGCTTCCCTGCTCTTTCAGCCCAAAAGCACATAAACAGACTGCAAAATACAGATTGTTTTGCAGTTTTAAAATGTGTAACTGTGTAACTGTCCCACTGTCTTTTGTCATAAGATGTGAATGAGTGCGGGGACTTCACAAACGGAGGTTGTGAACAGCTCTGTTTGAACCATCCGGGGGGGTTTAACTGCACCTGCAGGGCAGGGTATGAAGTGCGAACTGATGACCTCACCAAGTGCCAGCGTGAGTCAAACACCAAACATCAAGAAACGAAGATCCTGATGAATCTTGTAGACAGCAATAGTAGCAAAAGGGATTGCTTTATTCTTGTTTTTGTGAGGGCTTAAATTTGAAAATGAAATTATGCTTATTAACTTCTCTGCCCTTCCAGCTGTGTGTAACCCTTACTGTCACAACTATGGAGTGTGTGTGGCCCCAAACAGCTGTGAATGTCCTCCAGGCTACCCTGGACAAGGCTGCTCAGGTACAAGCTTTGACTGTTCTATATGGACACCACATATGTCATTGTAATATCACAGTTATTTGCTGTTGCTGTGAGAATCCATGTTGATTGTGTATTTCAGCCATGTGCTCCCCACCCTGTGCCCACGGAGGTACCTGTATGCGCTGGAACAAGTGTCTGTGTCCTCCTGGCTGGACCGGAGCAGGCTGCCATACAGGTACATCACCTCGGTTGTTAACGAAGCCACACTTCTGGATAAGCAATCGCTGTAGAGACTCTGTCTGTAAACACAGGCAGGATATAAGTTCAATTGAGTAAACAAAGCAGACTGCGCTAAAATAAAACAGCCACTGTTGCCTTAGCAGTTATGAGATGGTTACATTCTCTCTCTCACTCTCTCTCTCTCTCAGCGGTCTGTGAGCTGCCCTGTGCTAATGGTGGTCGCTGTGTGGGGCCTGATACCTGCCAGTGTCCCTCGGACTACACCGGCACCCAGTGCCTCTTGCGTGAGTAACAAAACCACCAACACATCTGGCTTCAGTTACACCAGGCATGCAGGTACATCGTGGGGCCTCCATGCTTGTTAGCAGCACTGGCTGGTAAAATGTGTCTTATACCATGATGGAAAAACAAAAAAGCATCGGGTAATTTAAGAAACGTCATGTTTAGATTCCACAATATACCCCCAACTTTCATTTTTCAACACAGACCTACTTATATCTGTGTGTGTGTGTGTGTGTGTGTGTGTGTGTGTGTGTGTGTGTGT